GACTTCGCGGCGGCGAGTTGCATCCTCGAAGAATTCATGGAGACCCAGAACGGCGCGAGTAGGTTCCTTCCTTGTTCGTTCTGCGCGATAAGGATAGAGACACATACACACACACATACATACGCACGCATACAATTTCTCTTTCTCTTCAGCATAGATAAGACTGTCGAGGACTCTCTTTCTCTCTCTCTCTCTCTCTCTCTCTCGCGACTGTCCGCAGGATAAACGCGAGCGCGCGCGGACGGACTGTGACATCATTGAGCGTTCCAGGTACGAGTGACGGTCTTTTTCTCGTCGAACCGGACGTTCCAAGCTAGCGGAGGATACCGTCGTTCGTGATTGATAGGAAAGACCGGGCACTTAATCTCCGCGTTGCGATTGGATATCTAATCTCTACGCGGATTCTCTCTCGTATCGCAGGTAGGATACAGCGTCTTGGAAGCTAAGGGAATTCCCCGATAAAGGGACCATTTTCGTGTTTCAATCCGGCGAATTGATTGCTTCGGACGATACAATTTGCGCCTTTATAGAAGATGTACAAGAATTTCGAGGTAACAATCTTCACTATCGTACAAAGGTCGATTAATCATGTTGGAGTAAAGTGATGGATCGATAGCTTCCGTTTTCAGAAACAGAATAGAACTGGTTTTCGTGTATATATATATATTGAGAGAAAATTGCTTCAACGTATAATAGTTAGCTCAGCTTTGAGCGAAAATGTAGATTGTTGCCTCTATTTGCCTGTATAGATCGAGGACACGACCGTCGCGTCGAGTTTGTTAGGTGGAAGAACGTACCACCAAGAGATCTTTATATCGGGAGAAAAAAAAAACAGAATAAGAAGGAAGAAAAATGTGCGAAGAAAGAGAAAAATAGAAAAGAGAAAACGGTAGAACGCCATATCGATAAAGCGACGCGGAAAATAGGTGAGAAGAATAGAGAGAAATATAGTGCGTCTGGAAAATGGTTGAGAGAGAAGGGCGAAAAAGAGACGAGATGAAACGAATGCAAACCTAAATACGTTCAAGGCAAACGTTTTTAATTTGTCTTTTCTTTATTAATGAGATTCTCGAGAGCAGATCGATCGATTCTCTTTCTCGGTCGTAATGTATCGAATACGATCTTACTCTAAAAATCTCACTCGAAGACTTTCGGGCAAGCTGTCGTCTTTAATAAAGCTGTCTGATTACTTTCGGAATATTTTTCAGAAGCATCAGCGATTGAATTACTTGGATTTAGAAAAAAGAGGAATGCGTGGCCGTTAAAATTGCGTTATGTGCGTTAATATGCGCCCGAGGCGTTAGGGATTAAAAATGGATTACAAGGCAGCGCTTTCCCACTTTCTCGCGATCAGTTATATCGCATCGTTTCTCGCTCGGGTAGGAAATTAAGGCTGAATTGCACCGACGGTCCGAGTCAGCTAATCTTTTATCCAAATTCTGTCCTATACGAAGTATATCAAAAGTGAAAGGAAAGTCTACTGATCTCGGTCCTTCCAATTATTCCAGATTTATACTAACATTAGTTTCTTTTAATCATTTAAATAAAAAGTAATTTGATAAAACGATTATTTTATTAATAATAAAACGCCGATAAGTCATTTTACGAGCGCGACTGCAAATGACATCTTGCATAGACAGAAGAAGGGAGAAAAGATTAGGTTCGATTGAGATTAGTGCTGACCGACCTTGGCGCAATCGGCTCTAAGAAGGCACAGTCGTTGAGTTAAGAACGTTAATATGCGGCTCCAGACACCGAAGACGAAGAGTTTCCCCAAAGTCGTTCGTTCGCTTCGCTTTCGTCGGCCTCGGGACGACGACCTCGACTCGAACGACCTCTCGTGCGCAGCGATCTTGCAGAGAGGGAGAAGAGAAGATGAAAAAGAATAAAAGCAGCGGCGGCGAGAGACGGTACAGCGCATCTACTCAGCAATCGGGGGAGTCCCGGGCTTGGAGGAGGATCCCCGAACTGCAGGTTGGCAGGTAGCTAAGTGGTTATCGAGTGCGTTGCTGCTGCTGCTGCTGCTGCCGTTTCTGTTGTTATTTCAGCGCTCTATGGAGTACAAGCGCGCCGATTATTTCACGCTTTTGTTCATTCGTCTTTGCATCTTTTTTAGTTTCTTTCGTTTGAGTTTTTTTTTTTATTTTCGAGTTGAGCTTGCCTCACGCGCTCAGCGGCGACGGAGTGTGGGATCACGCCTGTCGACGACCCACTCATTTACTGAGCCCACTTGTCGACGACCACCTCATTTACTGTAACATAATACACACGAGAACGATTAACGAGCGGCGGAGACCTAAGTGGCGAACTAAAGGGAAGAACAAAAATGTTGAACAGCCAGACGTTTTTAGCTCTCGAGCCGGCACTGCGTCGGCATCTTCCTCTCAACTTCGGCGGTCTGAAACGATCGGTCCTCGGATTAATTGGATGCGACTTGTTGGAACGAATGTACGGATCTCCTTTGTAAAAAGGAATGGTCATGAGATCGCTATAGCTTCAAATCAATGTCGATTGACCGACGTGTACATAACTATCCCTTTTTGTAAAGGAATATTGCGTTCCGATACGCGTCTCTAGCGCAGTAACAAGCAGCTACCCCTTTCGGTAACGGAAAAATGACGAATAAAAATGAAGTACACCTTTTGACGCGATTCGAGTAAAATCAATATCCTTATTTACTTATCATCACAATCATAACATCGTTAGATGAAACCTACTGGCGTATCATAACACAACAATATCAATCAAAAATAAACGAGGTCTTTACGCAACTGCGGTTAATACCGCAGTTAATTTGATCGCCATAAAACTACACTCGTACATTCGTTCTCGTTTTCTATTTCTTCGTCATCCCGCGGGAGATCGATCTTGGATGCCGATCGCCACGCAGACGAACGTGCGCGTGCACATGTATGCGTGGTGCTTATTGCGGTGCGTGTTGTGTCGGTGGGAGGGGGGTATACTTTGTGGTTTCACTCGGGAAATATTCAGTTTTTTTTTTTGGCTGTTAAGTAAAGACGTCTCCAGTCCCTTCGAGCAGCTCGAGAGAGTGTAGTGTGCTGTGGGTGGCCGATTTCTCGGCTGCGGCTGATTGGGTGTCTCTCAGATTCGCCCTACGTCCCCTCGAGCTTTATTTCGGCGCCATCACCGGCGGTGCCACTGCAATCATATGAGGGTAACATCGATTATTTCACCATGCCAAGCCATCCTCGCTGGCTCAGTTACGGCAAGCCACGGGCCTTTTGTCCAACTCTACTGCAACTGCTAAGTCGTTGCAAGCCTTGGCGATGGCGATGCGTTAGCGCAGCGGTGTGAGCAACGTTCTTAATTACAAGAGAAAAGATTAAGTATTAATATCTGGGACATTGTAAAAGCAAGCATATGTAGAGAGTGCGTGTGTTTGTGTGTTTATGTGTGTGCGGTACAAATAAATATATTACGATAAATCCTTAGAGCGATATTTACATACAAATCGTAGACAAATGAATGAAATGTGTAATATATAATAAATATGTATATTATATATAAGAATCATATTTTAGACTATATATGTAAGAACACAATCAATACGAACTAGAAATGTCTACATCGGTCAAACCTAGATCTTTAATGCTTAAATAATTCAATGTGAATGACTACAAATATGATATATATGCATATATATGTATGATACATATATATAATTCATATTAAATTATTTAAGAATTAAAGATCTAGCTTTGACGGGTATAGGCATTTCTAGTTCCTATTAATATATAATAAATTGTAATAAGTGTCCAAGGAACACACAGAAGTCAACAAAAAATTCAAATAACTTAATTTTGATCCTTAATATCAATACAGCCAAGTTTTGTAACAAAAAATCATCAATACTTTCATAAAGTCTTTTTTTACTTTCTCTTGATTGAGTATGTTCCTTGGAAAAGATATTAATAAGATTTTTTGTAGTCCCATTCCATGTAGTTAAAATGTGCGCGCGCGCATTGTAGAATAGACGAGGCTCCACAATCCCCTGAGTTCCTTTTGGGGACATGAACATGTACATGAACAAATTATACACATTACATGACAAAAAGGGAGATCTCATCGACAAACGGAAGAAACTGCTACACGTAAATCGCTCGTTTGCGGAATGCAATTTGTGGACGGCTTGTCGTGTTGCACAGCTAAATGTTATTAATCTCCTGAGTTCTTTTTGGAATGTACATAAACAAATTATACACATTACATGACAAAAAGGAGACCGCAATCTTTTTCCATCGACAGAAAAAAATACCGCCTTCAAGTCGCTTATTTGCGGAATGTAATTCGTGGATGGCGCGCGCGTGTGCGTGCGTGTGCGTGTGTGTGTGTGTGTGTGTGTGTGTGTTACAGCTGGATATTGTGTACAGTTAAATATTAATTTCGTTAGTCTTAAAATTGGCAAATTCAACATTACCTGTATTTTACGTTTGCGCGTCCGTAGTCGCCCTCGAAGATCGCCCTCTTCATGACTGTACAGTTTGGCACACCAGCAGGCAGGGGGAAGTTAGCAAAAGAGGGTGGGTGTCGAGGTGTCACGTGATGTGTCGGAGGATGTTTTCAATATCCTCGATTTTAGGACTCATTCCGGGTCATCGACAGTTATCACATCGGTCTTTTTTCCAGTGAACGCATGCAAAAATTTCAAACAAGTCTCGAAGGGTCGGGGGGGGGGGGGGGGGGGGGGGAGGAGAGGAAAATAGGGGACACCATAGTATAGCCATAGTAGATAATAAAAAGATTCGTCGTGGATGCGCTGTGTCGAAAAATTTCGGTATCACGTAACGTGTTTTATTTTCCGAAATCTTGCCTCCACACACAATAAGACGGGCGATGGTGAGACGTACAAGATGGTCCTCAAAGTCCTTGTGAACCTTTCGATTTGTTATGTCGAAAAATTATAAGGGTTATACAAGCAGAAAGCTGTCTTAATCATTGAATAAGTGGGCCACAAACGCGCCGTTCACTATGATTTTATTGTACTAAAATACTAAATATTTTTTCATACACATATTTTGGAATCAGTAATTTTTTTTTGTTTCTGTTTATTCGAACCAAACACAATCATTACTGAGTATAATCCCGCAAATCATCCTGTAAATAATTTTAAAAACATCATCTCGCCAAAACTTTAATCTTACTTTATTATTTACGAAGAAAGAAATTATAAATAAAAAGATTTCCCTTTCTGAATTTTAAATATATATATTCATTAATCTCTAAATTTCATATAATTCTGACCCACCAACGTCTGAATGTCTTAAGCCAGCTGTGGTTACAATAAACATTCGAAATATGGTGGAGTGGATAACAAACACCGAGAGAGAAAAAAAAGGTCGAAAAGTTAAAGTAAGTTTTAGGCTGGAATAAACTGAATCGAACACTTATTACGTCGTATTAAGTGTTCGATCTTTTTCTGATGGCAATAATCGTCGAGTTTAAGCGAGAATTATTATTTCGATTAGTAGGCCAATCGTCGGAGAATCGAGAAACGCATTAGTAACACATGATTTTTTTATTATAACAAGTAATGCATTATATATCATTCCATCGTCATATACTCTCACTTGTTATAATATCGCTCTGTACGAACTCAAATTGGATACACGACAAAGGCAAATCGGACGATAAATAAAACAAATTGTGAACGCCAATACACGAGGGAGTGGCGCGATAATTACATGATAACATAATTGTACTTATTGTATATGAATAGACTTGATCGTAACACGCGCAACAGTCGGATTCGTGTATACAATTTCTCTTTAATCCTTCTATATTTTTATATTTCTCCGTCTCTACGAAATCTGATATAACATATAATTCACACCCGGAATTATATTCTCGACTATCTTTCGCCGCGGAGCGCGTCCGCGGCGAGTGTATATATACTCGAAATCACTCGATGTTATAGTATTCCATAAGTTATTAATATTAATATTAACTTCGTTATCGTTAGAGAAATAGGTACTTCCTGAAGGAAACGACGCGATCGTAGCCTCATCATCGCTGGACACCGCGTTTTGGTTGTCAACGTCACACAAGGATCAATAAGAAGTGTCTACCGACGAGCTAATTAACTCTCAGCACACGTACACATTTTGACAGTTAATAAATTATAATTAATAAATATAATATACGAAGAGAATATAATAATAAATATAAATTGTTCCTTCTTTTTATAATAGCGTTATATTATATAAAGTATATGTTAATGAAGCTAGGACTGTAACTTTTTAATCAAGCATTGATATTTGCGTGACGTCGCGCAGTATACTTTCGTCGTGATGGCACTACCCCGTCATTCTCGGTCAACATAAAATACAATGCACACTCCAAGTACTTACAGATACATCGTGGACGAAGTTAGGAATCCGGACGCGAGGGAACAATAAACGACGTATCCCGAAAAAAATCGTACGAGTATGTAAATACAAAAAGGAAAGTATTCTGTTTCTTAAATTTAATGACAGATCACATTTCTATCCAATCATTGGAGGATCAAGAATCATCCATATCGTTCCGTTGATATATATTTCAAAAATGAAAGAGGATGAAAAATGTCCAATTATTTCGTTGACACATATTCTCATATTTGTCGGACTTTAAAAATTCAACGATTTACTCTCACACAGCATGCTTTATCCGAGAGACGTCCTCTTAGAGAGGATCGCCTTAGGACGTTCAAAAGACATCTTTAAAACGTCTTTAGGACATTCTTTGGAGGTTTGTGCTGTGTGGGATGCAAAAAATTGAAATTCGCGCGACCTTCGAGATCCGTCACTTGGGTCGCCCTGTAATCCGTGCTTCCCGATTCATTTCGTCGAACTTATTGAGCGTCATAGAGAACTGCATTAGACTCTTCGCACCGGCATTGATCCCCGCGCTCGTACCTGTGCTCCAATTACTCGCGCGTCCGAACATTCGAATAAGCACATCATCCATTGTTCTACGCCACGGTGGGTAAACATGATAATGGCAAGTATTACACAGGATCGCCTCAGAATTCGGAGAATATAAAAAAATCGCAGTCTAACCCTGATCGATATTCGCTCCGAAATTTCCTGAACTGATATTCGTGGGTCCAGTGTACCTATTTTATCTAGCTTTGCTTAAAGTTAACGTAATCGAACGATTTTTTGTTCATATCGAAGATCAAAATCCGAGAAATAAGGTGCAAAATTATATAAGGTTGAAAGAAATATTTGTCAAAACAATTTTTCACAACGCAATTAAAGAAAATGTCCAATCCGAATACCGATCAGGGTCGTTTTTATGAGAGATATAGATGTACAATTATGAGAACGAATCTCTCTTTTACGGGCGACAATACTAAATATTACGTATTCTTCTCGATGACTTTTATTCCGCTGCGAATTGTAGAATTCATCCACGCGAATGGATTTTCCTTCAAGTGACATTGAGGACAAATATCGCACAGGTATCGATCGCAGAGGACGCAAAGCCGGTAGTTTTATCTCGTGCTAAAAATTAAACTGCGGAACAAAACACTACTCGAGACACAAGTTCGTTAGTGCGGCAGCGCTAACTCGTTCGGTCTGATTAAGTTTTAATTATGCCCATACCAAAGTATCACGCCTTAACCGTTAACTAATTAATTAATTATATTACAATGTCGCGCCGCGCGACCGTGGTCGATTCCTCAATCGCCGGATGCGGCGCAATTAAATTATTATGCGTCGCGCGCCGAAGAAGAGAAAAAACAAAAAAAGTAAAGAAAACGCAGCGGACGCGTCCGCTCCTCTCCGGAACACATCGTCAGTCTTGTTGCGTTTGCACGTGTTTGCGGAGAAGCGTCTCGCGCGCTGCGTCTCGCGCGCTGAATCGCGAACGGCCAAAATTACGGCGATCTCTGCCGGCGAAGATCTGGATGACACCTTGGATCGTGCGCTGCCGATGGAAGCGAATCACTTAAATCCACCATTTACGACACGATAGTACTCTTTGCCCTCTTGTCGATTACTTACTTTTCTAATCGAATGTAGCGGGCGAAGCTGGAAATACCGTTTCGTAAGGGATGGTTTTACGTCAATAAATGGGGAAAGAAAGAATCGAGAAGTTGCTGTCTTTATTAGCACTTTATCGATTTCAATCTTCCTTCCTTGATTAGCAGCCGCTTCCGTCGACAGGATACGGTCTAAGGGATGAACTGACTAAGCAGCCAGATGATTCGAAGGCCCACGTACTCGTGACGACACCGATTATTCGTTTCGTTATGTGGCAGTGACCGAATTCGCGTTCACTCAATCGAGAAATTGCTCGACTAATTAGGGACTAA